CAAGGCTTTAGCCTGGGCACTTAGGTCATGCCCATATTACAATTTTAATAGGCTCAAGGGACACATCAAGCCCCTGCCGTGGTAATAGCGGCTATGTCGTCATCAGCGATCCCTCGACGTCGAGGGTGATCTCTTTCACAGGTTTTATTTTTCATGGGTCCGTTGGTGGCTGAGGAGTGCAATCCTTGAGCCGCAGGCTCATTGCAGGTGGTGCTGGAAGACACGGTTGGGCTGTGTGACTCCATTGCTTCATGACTGTTTTTCTTTACTGGTGTTTTTCTGTGACCAGGACAAGGCGGTTTTCCTCAAAAGTGGACGTTCCCTCCCTGACAAGTCTTGGCCAGTTATCCCTATCCTCGGCTGCTGTCTCCCAGTGTATGGTGTCGATGCCACATCTCTTGATGTTGATCTTGAGGGTGTCTTTCAAGCGTTTCTTTTGGCCTCACCATTTCCCTTCTCCTTTGGTGAGTTGGGCATACAGCAGTTTTGGTACGCGTATATCAGACATGCGCACACAGTGCCTGCTCCATCTCACCTGGGGCTGGATAATCAGGGCCTCAACATTGAAGATGTTGGCTACTGTGAGGACGCTGACATTAGTGCGACGATCCTCCCACTTTAGGTTGAGGATCTTCCGAAGAAAGTGCTGGTGCTCCAGGCTTTTCAGGTGTTCTCTATAGATCACCCAAGCTGCTATGTAGACAGGGATTCCCATGCTGCTAGACACTTGCACATTTCAGCTAACACCATCCTCCTTCCCCACCCACATTTGACACAGCTTGCCATCTTTTCAAGCCATGAGCAGTACTAGGGCAGAGGGGGCACTCCCGTTCAGCAAGGATTGCTGATGCCATAAATCTTTTCTAGGATATAAACAGACAGGCTTGTAACCTTCAAGTTATGCTCACAGCTAGTCTATGTAGCCACACGCTCCTGGCACGCTTTCCCCTCTTCCCATCCCAACTCCTACCTTTAGTTTCTTCCAGGGACATTATCTTGATTCAGATTGTAAATCCTTCAGGGAAGCCACCATCTCTCCCTTTGTTTATACAGCCCCTAGCACAACAGCTCGGATCCTGAGTGAGGCCTCTAGACTCTCCTAAGTGCACTGACAGAGCTGAGCACGGATCCAGGATTGGACTAGCAGGAATGCTGCAGGCCCAACAGAGCTATTTTTCTCAGAGCTCATGGGGGGAATCTTGTACAGTGCTCACTGTGTATGTGCTTTAAGATTATTAATCAGACACTTCAATAAGCTGCTGTTCAAACAGCAGAGCAGGGCAGAAATGACAAGAATGTAACTAGAGCCCGCAGTGATCAATGGCTGTTATTGGATAGCTGTTTGGGGTCCTCGAAAAGGAGTTGGGGAGGGCATCTCAAAAGATATTGACACAACATAAGCCATCACCACATTTTGTTCTAACTGGCTCTCCTGCAGGCAGCCCCGAGACAGCCACCAGGGAACGAACAGATGATAGAGACTGAACTCCTGTTTTATTTCTAAGCGAGAATCCCTCCAAACCAGGGTTCAAGTCCATTGCAGGGAGGAGCATTGTGAAAGCTTGCCCTGATGCTGCCCATGGTGCCCCTGTTCGGTAGCTAGAGGACATCAGGTTCTGGAACGGTTGATACAGCACTTGTCATTGGTGCTACATTTACTTGAAGTGGAAGAATTCAAGATGAAAGACACACTGGCCAACTACTTGATCTTGGAGATATCAGCAGACAGCCCTGTGACGTTGCACTCTATATGATTTTATAAAAATATGCTAATAAGTGAATATAATGTAACTGGGATATGCTTCATGCAAAAGGTCTCTTGTAAGGTATCATTACAAAGCTTATAATCTACTGAGTGTGATCATCCTATTTCTATAAATGTATCACTTGTATCTAAAAGTAGAAATATGAAATATAACTCTGAGGGCTTATTGTAATTATGCAACGTGTAGGCAATTAATGGTGGTTTGGAATCTTGATGGCTCCCATCAACCAGGACAACTGACTGTGGATGGCTCTGTTTTCAGGCAAGCCTCCCTGTGAGTCAGGCTGGGAGGAATGAAGGCTTGGGGGTCTTACAGTGACATGTGATCATGTCACCTGAACTGGAATCCATCTTTAACCTGGTGCTTTTCCAGTTAGGAGGGGTGGGAACCCAGAGGGACAAAGTATTCCCACCTTATGCAAAAGGTATACAAGTGGGTGGAACAGAACAAAGAGGGAGAGAGGAGCCATCATGAGGAATCCCCTAGCTACCACC